ACTTCGATAAAATGACGAGTGGAAACACCAAAGGCCAGATTCCAGTAAGCGTTGCTGCATCCGTTGATTTGCATGTCACAGCACTTAAGTCAACTACAATACACACTTTGTCAAAGAAGATAATTTGGGGTAGGATAAAAGAACATCACCCTAGAAGCCCAATACTTGTGGAAGCAGTGGAAGACCCATCCAGGCCAGCGGATTTGAAGATTGGAAGGTCACTTGTGGCAGGTCATCAAGTAGTACCTATAACAGTGACCAATTTTTCTAAATGTGAGCAGACGCTTAAGGAAAGAGCATTGTTGGGTTTGTGCCAGGAGGTAGAGCCACTCAATGTTAAAGCAAGAGATACAACTATAAAGAAAGGACATACACTTCCAGAACATTTAACTGACCTCTATAAGAAGAGCATAGTCCATTTGGTATCATCACAGGCTCTTCAGGTAAAAGATCTTTTGGCGAATTATGCAGACGTCTTTTCGAAAGAAGATCATGACCTTGACTGCACAGACCTTGTGGAGCCCAGAATAAACACAGGCAATCACCGTCCAATAAAAATCCCTTCGAGGGGAATAGCTCCAGCAAAGCGACAATTAACAAACGAACAGAGACGTAACAATATTATGTATTTTCATTTTGAAATAGTCTTTGATAAGATGTCGCACATAACTTTTATTGGAAAGCTAAATTCTTATGTATAAACAAAATAAATAAACATTCTTCTAATGATAAAATATAGTTGTTTTTTGGATACTACCATTTCTTCTAGTTTGAATATTTTTTATTTTTACTGTATTTATATTTTGCAATTTTGACGTTACATAGGTTTTATTCAATTTCTTTCAAGAATGTCAAAGTGCAACGACAACAGTGCTTTCTATGGCTTAATGGAAACCCTTTAGTCACATACACACAAATTAACTAAAGTAATGTCTAACTAATTTTATTTTAACCTTGTAAATATTCTATTGTAAACCACATACAAATGAACATAGTGCGTTAGTAGGAAACCAAAAAGTACTCGCTAAGATAGTGAAGAACAGTGAGGAAAATGAATATTACAAAAGTTGTTACAGTTATTCTATCAAGAAAATTATAGTATGGATTTAAATACTTTGAGATGTAAAACACTTAAGGTTAAGAAGTGTCTAGTTTATTTTCTCAGTACATACACAAGTTGGGAAATATAAGTCGGTTAAAGTTTGAGCAAAAGGACTGAACCCTCTAATCAATGGCACGTATGCTACCCAAAATTATTTTTAAAACAGTGTAAGTTTAACAAGCCTTAACGGTAAGTGAAAAAGCTCCTTTTCTAGCAGGTTGGAAGGAGCTACACTATGTGCTAGAGAAATGTCTACAACATATACCTGAAATTAGTTTGTATAACTTTTCCTGATATCCAGATGTACATTTGTTAGCAGTTAGGGAAATGGGTTATATAATCAGTTAATTATTT